TGTGTCCACTTTGGTAAGAAAAGCTTAACTAAATTGGCTCAGCAGTTCCCTAGCGATTCGCAGCAATGGCTCATTGCCTGGATGGCAGAAAGGAAAAATGAAGAAGGAGGGCTGTGCTTCTGTTTCTTCAGAGGGATTCCAGTCTTCACGCTCCCCTTGACATCATCTCCTGGCTTCCAGCACAGGCTCTTTAGCCTTTCCTCAAAGACTGCTAGGCTCCAGACAGAGACGCGTGTGGACACTGCGGAGCTGCAGACCGGCTGAAGCCTTCCATCTCCACGTGCAGACCCCTCTGAGGCCTGCGAATCTGGCTCTGTGAGGGCCGCTGTAAACCAGTCTTGTAATTTCTTGTATGTTGGTACATTCTTATGTATTAGAGTATCTTCTGTTGTATCTGTTTCTTTAGTAAACACTGCTGATACAGACTTGTTACTTATTGATGAGTAAAAGCATTATTTTGTCATTTTACAGTATTTCATATTTTCCACTCACTATACATTCTTCTCTCCTCCTCCTCTTCCTTCTCCTCCTCCTCCCTCTCCTCCTCCTCCTGCTCCTTCTCCTCCTCCTCCTCTTTCTTCTTTTCCGTGGAATAGATACTTCCACTGGTTTTAAACATGATCTATTTCTGTCTGGCTCTTGCTGTGATCATCTGTGATTCTGATACCTGCTTCTTTGCCCAGTATGATTTTCCCTTTTTTTTTTTTTTTTTTTTTTTTTTGTGACAGGGTCTCACTATGCAGTTTAGACTGGCCTTGAACTTACTTTGTAGCCCAGACTGGCCTCAAACTTGGAGCAATCATCCTGCCTTAGCCTCCCAAGTGGTGTTGGGATTATAGGCATGCATTTTTTTTTTTGTCCAATCTTTTTTTTTTCCAAAGTTTTATTGATAAACAGCAATGAAACAGTTTCAAATTAAATCGGAAGTACAGTTTCAACAAATAATACACTGCATATATTCTTCTTAGTGGTTAATTGCTGTACAATCCAATCTTTCTTTCTTTCTTTCATTCGTTCATTTGGCAGGGTTTCACCATGTAGTGCAAGCTGGACCTATACTCCCTTTTGTTGCCCAGACTGACCTTGAACTTATGGCAATCCTCTTGCCTCAGCCTCCCAAGTTCTGGAACTGTAGGAATGGGCCAGCACACCCAGTTAGTGATTTCTTAACCTATCTTCATCTTTTCTCTGACTCTAGAAACACCTCAGCACATTCTCACCTCCATCCTTCCCACCCACCTCCTCCATTGTCTTAATAACAATCTAGAATTCTGTTCTCAATCATTACGTAAGTTAAATGACTATTTTCTTCAGTGGTTTTTTTTTGTGTGACAAAGATAAAATTTATCTGATTTTGTTTTATTTCTCTTGTGTTCTGACTTGAACATGGCTTCCAAGAGTGACTTCAGTATGAGCAGTGTCCTAAGCCTATAATGCCAGCACTCTGAAAGGCTGAGGCAGGAGAGTTGCAAGTCTGAGTCCAAGTTAAGCAACTTAGTGACTCAGTGAAATTCTGTCTCAAAATTTTATTCTTTTTTTAAAAATTTATTTATGTGTGTGTGTGTGTGTGTGTGTGTGTGGCCAGCTCAGCCCACCAGGGGGCGGGGCTGGCTGGCACGTGGTGCTGGGGGATTGAACCGCAGTCCCTGTGCTTTGCTAAGCTTGTTCTAAGTAGGAGCTTTAGACCATTGAGCTATCTCACCAGCCCATGTCTCAAGATTTTAAAAAGGACCAGGTATGTATCTTAGAGCAAAGTACTACAAAATAAATAAATAAATAAATAAATAATAAAATCAAAGTCGGATCATGCTGGTATCTAAGATCTCAGCTGTTTGAGAGCCTCCAACATATGTTTACTTTCTGTGATTTAGTAGAGTCAACAGCCCTGGAGAGAAGTTCTTTTCTTTCAGTAACGCAGGTGATTATTCCACTGTTCACTTGAGCTCAGAGTGGCCCTGGAGGAAGGTCTCTGCGTGTGGAGCTTCCCTTGGCTGTGGTGTTGTCTTAGTCCTCAGGACGGTTCAGGTGTGGTCTCCCCTCTATCCTGTCTGGCCTTCCAAGGACCCTTGACAACAATGCTGTCACCGCCCTAGCCCTGGAGAATCTACAGTGTTCTCTTTCTTTCTTTTCCTCTGGTGGAGATGTTTTATCTGTGTGTCTTAGATTTGTTGTTTGTCTTTATCCTCGTCAGGGACCTTCCCACTGTGGGATGTTCCCCTCTTTGGCATCACCTTCCACTGCCCATTTCTTCCTCATTCCTGGCATCTCCATGGGTATGTCCTGACTACATATTTACCAGCTTCCTGTCCTGTGAAAATGTCATTATGCTGACTTTGAGGGTGCTACTCTGCCTGTGCTCCAAGAGGTAGATTCGATGTGCCATGTAGCTGTCTCTGTCCTGGACAAAACGCCCTCCTCAGAATGCTAGTTGGGACTAGGCGCTTAGAGTTTGGTCCAGAGTTTGCGATTGGGCCACATACCCAGAGCATAGCAAGGTGAGGTCCTGGCAGCAGGAGTCTTTATCGGCCTTGTTGACCTCTCCATGTTGGCTGCTGCTTGGCCTCACCTTGTGTTGAGAGCTTAGCTTTAATGGAAGATATTGGTCTGAAGGACAGGTGAGAGTCCCTCGAGGTGTGTTTCGGCCACCTCCCACCACAGTGGGCTGCGCTGGGCAGGGCCTGTGCATGGAAGAGGCAGAAGGAAGGAGGAAGACTGTGGGGACCATGGGTTGTGTCAAGGTGTCAGGTAGTGGACACATGGTCTGGGCCTATGCCTCTGTGGCCTCTGGTCACTGCGTCGGTCATGCTTCAGAGGCAAGGGCCCTAGACACACCCTAGGTGCTGTCTGCTTATCTCTCAGGAAGTTGCTTCAGAGAGGAAAGGAAGGGAAGGTTTACTCCTCTTTGGTGGGAGTGAGGGTCTGGGGCAGGTGGGCAGGGCCCCAGCTCAGATGGGACACCAGAGCTGAGCACGCAATGGGGACCTGGATCCCACCCACCTAATTCGGGAACTCAAGGCCAGAGAAGCAGTGGCTTGTCCAAGTCTCCTTTATTGAGTGGTCACCTGCTGTACACCTTGCTTTGCCTATGCCTGAGCCTGGGTTTCAGGTGACCTGTTTCCTCCTGGGATACTCTGGGTGGGTGGGACACAGAAACAGCCCCCCGGGCCCTGTCCCCGCCTCCTATCCTCAGACCAGAGTGTAAGTGACTATGTTGAAAGCAGGACTTCTGCTCCTTCCCAGAGCCTTGACATTCAATACAGTAGCGGGATTTGGTTTTGTTTTGTTTTTTTGTGGTAGTGCCCCTTGTGTTTCAGCCTCCAGAATCCTTGGGATCACAGGTGTGGGCTGCCATGCCCCACTCTATGACTGCTTTTTGATTTAAGGAAATACTATATATATATATCTCTCATTCAGAAGCTGATGTGTTTGTCAGGACCTATTGGGCAAACTACCCATGCCTGAGAGTCCAGAAATGTCCCCCACCAAGGGCCCCAACATCTGCGTCCCCAGCGTAACACAGCTGTGTTCCCAGGGGTGCCCACACCCTCCCAGGGTGCCACATCTGTATTTCCAGCTGTGGTCCCCCTTCACCTGTCTCCAGCCACTGTTTGGATCATATTGATGGCATAAGGGAGCCAGCAGGAGCCACCCAGGCCCACCGCTGCTGGCCAAGGATCCGAGGACTCTCCACCTGTGGGCACTCCAGCAGTGGTCACAGCTCTGCCAGATGCCAATGAGCAGGTGTGGAGAGACCACTGGCTCCAGGTGCCCACTGCAGAGGTCACAAGGCTTCTGGCAAGGATGCTGAGACAGGAAGGTGCTATGGGGCCCACTCAGGAAAGAGGAGAAAGGGGAACAGGTGGGAAACTGTTCTGGAGGTTCCATGAGAAAAGGAGACAAAGTCTCTAGGTTGCCCCCCTTCCTGGCTGCCTACCTGTCTGCTTGAGATGTAGTTGTCATGGAAAACCTAGTGCTCTACATCTTTGACTGAGAAAACCATTGGTAATATCATGCTTACTGCTCCATATTTCATCACTGCAGATGTAAAACCATGTACATGTATGTGAAAAATAAGCACACCCACCTGTGTTCTATTTCGTCAACATGGGACCATCTGCGTGTTCCACAGCCACCCCGTGGGGACGCCCCTTGCCCTATGTGCACCCCAGGTGAGGAGGCACATCCTGGCCAGGCCTCCTGATCCCCACTGTGCTCCATCGCTGGCATAGCTGCTAGCTCTTCTTCTGGACAGTTCAGTCCTTTCTCACATCCAAGAGAATTTCAAAGATGCTCAGAAGCGAGCTTTCTAGGTAAAAGGTCCACTGTGCTCTGGAGCCTTTCCTACCTCAAGAGGCCAGTGGAAGGTGAGCTTGTCTCAGCTGTGCTCCTGCCCCTCTAGTGCCTGTGGTGGTCCCAGAAGGCCTCCGAAGTGGTGGTTGCGGGCCCAGGCCTCTCCACCATGTATCACCCATATCACCCAAGTGGCTGTGCCTGTTTCTGATCCGTGGATGGGGAAATGAGGGTTCCTTGTAGCTCAGTCCTCTTCCGAGAGGCCTATGGGAATGAGGAAGGATCTGGGAAAGGCTGGGAAGGTTCAAACTTCTTGGTGGGGGGTCCTTGGGGAATAGCACAGTCCTCCTCAGGACCCTGTGGTCAGAACTTGTGGGGCAGGGACTGGGGCCCAGGGATCTACAGGGGCTCAAGGCCAGGGAAGGCTGCCTTGCTGGTGTGGAGGGGCTGTGCCTCAGACTTGCTCTTTAGAGGGCCAGATAAGCTGCTCCTCAAGAAGTCTCTGGGGCTGGAGGAGGTATGCTTCCTCCCTCCTCTCTGACCCTCCCCCAGGGCCACACACACAAACATACACACTCACACATACAGGACACACCAGCTGCTAAAACTCTGGGAGCTGCATGGGTAGGGGCTTGGATTGGTAAATAAGCGTGAGTGTTAGAAAACAAAGAAAATAAACACTTTATTTTCTGAAGCTCTAAGTGGGACTGGGCCTCCTCCTGCCCCCTTTGCCAAGAGTCTCTGGGCCCTGGGACTGGCCAGATGTCTAAGCCCATCAACAGAAAAGGCCCTGATCAGCTGTGGGAGGGGAAGTAGGGGAAGGGTGGCCAAAGGACAGCCGAGCTTTGTGGTTGGTGGCAGTGTGACCAGGCCACCAAGGGGTGGGCCAGGCCAGAAGGCTTCCTGGAGGAGGTACCCTGTCCATTTGAGAGCACCAAGGAGCACAGCCCCTGCCACAGCTGCCTGAGTGTGAGTACTGGGTGTGCTAGGCTTGGTGGGGTGCAGGGATCCAAGGGGCTCACTAGCCCTGGATGGGGGGTGATATGGTGTTGCGGCTGTTGTAGGACATGTCTTCATACACCACGTAGATCAGATTCTTATCCCTGGAGGCACACGAATTCTTGATCTAAAAGACAGCTCAAGTCACCTTTGAGGAAGCAGGCCTTGTGACCTAGGCCCCAATGGAAGCTCTGAGCAGCCCCTTCCTTTAATATACACCCTTGGGGAACTCTTAGCTGGCTGTGGCATGACTATGTCAACCCCTGTTCCACCCCATCCATAGGGCCCACACTGACTCTTAAGCTTATTCACAGGCCCAGTGGACCCTCCACCCATGATCACGGGTACACACCACACTCACAAGTGGCCCTTGTGTCCCCTGCATGCTCAAATAGCTACCTATACAAGCACCCTCCATGCAGAGATTGCACATGGTGTCCACGGCTCTGGACCAGGGCATCTCCAACCCTGCCCCTCCTGGTCCACATCCCACAGGATGCAATCTACACCAGCCCCTGCGGGGGTCGGTGAGTGAGCCCTGCAGCCCACTGCTGCCAATTTGGGCTTCAACTCTTCCCTCTTCCGGCTGCACTCTCTGCTCATCAGGTAGGGGTGAGTATGGATCCCTACCCTGGGTGACAACTGACCTGTGTCCTCAGGGCACACAGCGTTCCCAGGCCCAGCCCAAGGAAGAAGCAGCTCCCAGCAAGGACCCAGGGGAGGATGAGCGACATCAGCCCATGCTCCTGGTGTTTGTGTGGTTCTTGTGTCTCTTTGCACAGTTTTTCTGGGAAGGGAAACAAAGATAGGCCCTAGGCAGGAAGAATGTCTGCCAGGTGGTGGGAGAGCCCATTTGAACTTGTAGAGTTCAGGGCAGAGAAGAGCTGAGGAGGAGGAAGAGAGGGAGTGATCTGGGAGGCTTCTTGGAGGAGGCTGGCTTGGAGTGGGAACAATTTATGAAGTGTAGGAGGAAGGGTCCCTGATGTGGCTGGTGGGAGCCAGGCTTGGGCAGCAGTGGGCAGAAAGAGTTCTGGAGGTGGGCGCATTCCCTACCTGTGACCATGACCATAGTGTCAGAACCTGAGAATTCAAGGTCCGCGACTGGAAAGCAGGTGTAGACGCCAGAGTCGGCCATCTCTAGGTGGCTCATGGTGATGGTCAGGTTTTCCTGGGATCCCATGAAGTTGATACGGCCCCAAAACTGCTGATCCACAGTGGCATTCACCCCGTCTTCATAGTAAATCACCTCCATGTTTCTGGGCCATTTCAGCTTCAGGTAGAGCCCTTTCAGGGGCACGGTAGTGGAGCACGTGATGTTGACAGAGTCTCCCACCGAGACCACCATGTGGAGGGGAGACGGTTGTACCTCTGTGGAAGGATATGCCACCATCACCACCAGGGTAGGCAGAGGGACAGAAGATGCCCTCTCTGTGGACAAGCGCAGAGACTGCAGGACTGCCCTCGGCACTGCAGATCAGGCAACTGTGGGGGTCTTGGAGCTGCTGTGGCTACCAGTGCCCGGGCAGCCGTGCTGAGTTCTGAGGGCCACGGGGCCCAGAATCCAGGCTGCCTGTCCAGCACTGGGGAGGTTACAGCGGGCTGGCTCTGCGTCCCTCCCAGCAGTTCAGACCACTCCTCACCTGGATTCTGCACATCCCCTTTCCTAAGCATCCTCTCCTGCTAGAGGCCACTGTCTTACCTCATTTCTCTCCTGTTAGATGCTGGCTGCCTCATTTTCCCCTCCATCCCCGGTGCCCAGAGTCTCTCACCCTGTTCAGTGAGCCTTGCTTGTCCCAGGAGCCCTGGAGACAATCCAGGCCCAGCAGCACCCAGCTTCCTGCATAGACACAGATCTTTCCACTGCTCCCAGGCTAATTGTAGAAAGGTCTCAGATATAAAGTAGGGAGAGAAAAGCACCTCACAGTGACTACTGCATGGGCCGGGGTCTTTCTGACCCATGGAAGGGGAGTGGGGATGTGCAGGAAGGTCCTGCTCACGCGACCTTTCCACCCTCCCCAAGGGGAATCCTGTGCTCACCTTGGGTCGGCAGGACCTCGGGCAGGGCTCCAGCCAGTGAGAACAGCAGGGCGAGGAGTGTGAGCCAGGAGAGATGCATGAAGCGAGCCATGCTGCCAGACCCAGCCTCCGCCCAAGCTGGGCTCCTCTCCGGCCAGAGAGATGCTCCTGTCTGTACCCTACAGTGGCTCGGGGAGATGGAAGATACACCAGTGGTTTGACTGCGGTGGGCGGGTGGTTGTGGGGCCTCTGGGAGGGCTTCCTGGAGGAGGTACCTGGAGGGAGGAGCTGCAGCAGGAGGTGGGAGGAGCCACTCTGCATGATCTCTCTGCCTTCCCTGTGGCTGCTGGTCTGGGTCTCCACCCCAGTGGCTCCGTAGGATAAACTGGGTGAGAAGAGGGCCAGGCCTTGGGACTGAGACAGGAAGAGAGGAAAGACCCTCTGCCCAGGAGGGGCAGGCTAGAGCTGACTTTGGATTGGCAGCGGCACTGTGTGCAGAGGTCTGACTTTTCCCCAGACATCTGCAGTGTCCAGTCAGCTGGGCATCTGGGACACTGACCAGACTGAGCAGTCCAGGATGACCAGTGTCCTGCAGTGAGACAGTCAGGTTCCCATGCTCGGTTCCTTTGTTCAGACCCCTGCCCCATTTCACCTCAGGGCACCCAGCTGGTGCTGGTCTCTGTCCTGACCTTTAGCCTGCTGGGAAGCTTCAAATGCTGGTGCCCAGAGCCACATGCCCCTGTGCGTACTTGCGACTGCATCCCCAGGTGCCCAGGGCCAAACAGTGAGCCCTTGCTTGTCCCAGGACCCCTGGAAACAGCTCCAGGCCCAGCAGCACCCAGCTTCCTGCATAGACACAAACATTTCCACTGCTGTGAAAGGTCACAGCAGTGCTTGGCTTGAGCTCGGCCAGGGCAGGCCCATCCCCTAGTTCCTGCCTATTGCTGTTCAGCACAGCCCCTGAAGCCCCTGCATCTGGAGCTCCTGAAAGATCAGCTTTAATACTTCATTTTGGGAGCAGATGCAAAGTCCTGATGCCCTGGGACGCTCCACAGAGGGACCTGGAGCAAATGCCAGATCTGTGGTCTGTGGCCATCCTTCCCCCTGCTGCTCCTGAGTGACCAAGGACTTCATTGATAGAGATGCAGCACTGGCCACCCTCCCTCTCCCTCTCCCTCTCCCTCTCCATGTCCTCTCTCCTGCTGATCCCCTGCATAGGAACTCTGCTTCCTAGACCTGGTCCTTTCTTGCCCAGGGCTTGGCTCCTGACCTGTCTGGGGTAACCGCTTCACTGCTAGCCCCTTTCCCCAGAGACCCTAGGCACTGCACAAATCTTTCCATCAGTTACGCGGGGACCGACGACTGGGGTTACTTCCTCCCTGGGGACTACGCTGACTGGCTGGGTCCTGATGGGTTTGGAGTCCTAGGACAGGGAGAACCTGCGGAGTGGTGCTGGTTTATGGGTCCTGGGTAGTTCTGCCAGCTGAAGGGTGCTTCTGTCCGGGGCAGAATATTGCCAAAGCCCTGGAAGGTCCTAAGAGGAGGTGAATGAGGCCAGGCATGGATCTGAACTGAAGCCCTCTGTAGTTGTGACATCTGCATGCATCATTCCGGGGTGCTTTAGGGATCTTCATACACTGACCCCAGCCCCAGAGCAGAGCAGAGGGCAAGGCTGGATGAAGGGCTCTGAGCCCTGGGTTGATGGTGATGAGGTGATGGGCAGTGAGCAGCACCAGGGTCTCTGAAGAAGGGGCTAGCGGTGAAACAGTTACCCCAGATGAGTCAGGAGGCAAGCCCTGGGCAAGGAAGGACCAGGTCTAGGAAGCAGAGTTCCTATAAAGAGATCAGCAGGAGAGAGGGCAAGGAGAGGGAGAGGAAGGAGAGAGAGAGGGAGGGTGGCCAGTGCTGAATCTCTATCAGTGAAGTCCTTTGTCACTCAGGAGCAGCAGGGGGAAGGATGGCCACAGACCCCAGATCTGACATTTGCTCCAGGTCCCTCTGTGGAGCGTCCCAGGGCATCAGCTCCACAAATGAGGTATTAAAGCTGATCTTTCAGGTGCTCCAGATGCAGGGGCTTCAGGGGCTGTACTGAACAGCAACAGCTGGGAACTAGGGGATGGACCTGCCCTGGCCGAGCTTAAATGGAGCATTGCTGTGACCTGAACCTTCCTTTAGCCTGAGCGGCACATGCCCAGAAGCCCTGGGCTCAGAGATGCAGCTTCCTGGACTCTTGGTCTTGGGTCTGGAGCCCATGAAGCATCCCCTGACTTGGCTTGGAGGCTGAGGGGGTGAGGAATTCCAGGGGTCTCCTTCCTTCAGGACCCAGCATTTTAGTGCTTTGCTTTTGCAAGCAGGACAAGATTCTTATAGGTTTTTGGTTTTGCACTAAAACAATTAGATTTTTCTACCTATGTAATGGTTTGCTAAAGGGTTTATTAAATTTGGTTAAAGATTAGCCTTAGGTAGCACTAGAGCAAATCTAGAAAACAATTTTTCACTCATGTGTAGGAAAAAAGCACTCATGATATAGTTGCAATAAAAAAGCAAGTGGGGGAAACAGATGTGACTCCAACAGAAACCTGGCAGAGTGGTGTAGAGCCACAGAGGGGTCCTGGGAGGCTGCTGTCCCTCCTCCCACCCTGGCCCTAGGCTCCCTGCAGCAGGCCCGCGCTGCCCCCTGGTGGTGGGTGTGGTGCAGCACAGCTTCTCAGGCCTCTTCCCCATCTTGGCCCCTGGATCCCAGACAGGAGGTTTGCTGCCTTGTTCTGCTCTTAGAAGGCGACTAAGCTGCAGACCCAGGGATTGGAAAGAGGCCAAGGGAAAGGTGCCCAAGGCCCCTGATAAGAGGCAGGGAGTGGGGAGCACCCTGTGGGACTTAAGATTCTTCCAGGTATGGAAGGAGGGGAAGAGCAAAAGGAGTGGCTGAAGCACATGGGGCTGGGGGCTGGGGGTCAGGTTCTGTCTCTTGTCTCTGTGTGAGTGACTGAGACAAATCTAAAATGTTCCCAGGCTGCCAACCTGTTCCCATGTCAGCCCCTTTTCTTGCCCTCCATAGTATCTGTTTATCTCAGCCTGAGGCTGCAAGAGTGGAAGTCCATCAGGACAGGGAGTGTCCCCAGCCACTCAGTTTGGGTCCCCAGAGAGGAGACAGCCCTGGCCATAGGCCCCATGGGACTGTGTTCTCGTGTGGTCTGCTCATACTCTAGAGAGGACATCTACATTTGAAACTTCCCTGTGGGAAGGAGGCCAGGACAGAGATGGGTGTGGGGGGCCACAGATTAGAAATTGACAGCAGAATATGTCCAAGGCCCTCCTTGCCCTGCCTTGCCCAGGCCAACCAGAAAGAGAAAACTCCCACTTTTTCTCTTTGTCACAGTTGAGACTTCAATGGCCGGGGTGCTGTGGCTCTCACAGGGCTGCTGTACTCCCCCTCAGCCTCTTCACTTCCGGTGAGCTTATCTGTACCCGGACCCCCACCTGCACCCAGGCTCCCACGCTCCCTGTGTGCAAGGCCTTTCTTCCTATTGTCTAATGCAATGCTGGAGGGCCCGAGGCAGAGCTGTGTAGGAGAGGCAGCTTCCCTGCCGTGCTTCTCTTGATCACCTGCAGTCCCAGCTAAACAGGAGGCCATCCACACAGAGATCTCCCCTTTGCGAGTCGCCAAAGTTATGGTGCTTCAATTGACTTTTATTTATTCGGTGCATGGTTTCACTACACAGTTGAGACTTGTAGTGATCCCCCTGTCTCAGCCTCCCCAATACTGGGACTACAGGTGTGCACCACCACACCTGGTTTTAGTGGCTGGCTCAGTGTGGGGCATGTGGTATTGGGGACTGAACCTGGGTCCTTGTGCTTGCCAGGCAGGTGCTTAGACCACCGAGCTATCTCCCCAGCCCTAGAATTCTTATATGTTCTTTATTATTATTATTATTATTTTTAAATTGTTTATTTATTTTTATTTATTACATTTATTTATTGTGTGTGTGTGTGGCCAGCTCAGCCCACCAGGGGGCGGGGCTGGCTGGCATGTGGTGCTGGCGGTCCCTGTGCTTTGCCAAGCTTGTTTCAAGTAGGTGCTTTAGACCACTGAGCCATCTCTCCAGCCCTCTTATATGTTCTTGATTCAGCTTTGATAGTTCATATGTATCTAGGAATCTGCCCATTTCATCTGTGTTTTTCATTTTATTAGAATAAAGTTTGTCAAAGTAGATATTGATGATGTTCTGGATTTCTGCAAGATATGTTGTGACTTTGGCCTTTTTGTTCCTAATTGCATGAGTTTGAGTCTTTTTTTGTTTTTTTGACAAGGTTGGCTAAACGTTTATCAATTTTATTTAAACTTTCTAAGAGCCAAGTCTTTGATTCATTGATTCTTTATATCATTTTCTTAGTCTCAATTGCATTAATTTCTTTTCTGCTCTTTATAATTTCTTCTCTCATGTGAGCTTTGGGCCTAACTTTCTCTTTTCTTTATAGAAATTTGAGACTCAACAGTAGGTTGTTATGGGCCGGGGAGATAGCTCAGTGGAATAAGCGCTTGCCTGGCAAGTGCAGAGTCCTGAGTTCAATCCCTGGTACTGCAAAATCAAAATCAAAAACAACACAACAATGACAATAACAATAAAAAAACCCAATCAGTACATTGCTAGTTTGAATCCGCTCTGTCTTCCTGATAGAGGTGTTCACCACTGTAGAATTCTCTCTTAGGACTGTTTTCATTGTGTCCCATAAGTTCCAATATGTTTTATCAGCATTATCACTGAATTGTAGATACTAATTTGCTGTTTCATTTCATCTGTGACCCACAAGATGGTATTATTTAATTTCCATCTATGGAGTTTTGTGGTTTATTTTGTCATTAATTTCTAATTTTATTGGTCTATAGTCAGAGAATATGCATGAGACGATTTCAATTCCTTTGCATTTACTTAAGCATGTTCTAGGGACTAGTGTGTAGTCTAATCCCATGTGAAACTGAGAAGAACATGTACTGTGATGTTACGAGGTGAAACACTCTGTACATATCTATTAATTCCATTTGTTCACAGATTCGGTTCAGTTATGATATCTCTTTATTGATTTTTTTTTTTGCCTATTTGGTATATTTATGACAATGGGGTATTAAGGTCCCTCATTATAATTGCATTAGTGCTTATTTGATTTTTAACCTCCACTAAAA